GGGAACAGTATTCGGTGTGTCCAACACTCTGGCCTCAACCACAGGCTTTATCGGGCCACTCATTGTAGGCCTACTTCTTGATCACGGGGTCAGTCCTTTCATATTTGTTGATTTATTTAAATTAAAAATTATAATTTAAAAATGAACAGGGTGATGCGGGTGTAAGACATCAGTGGAATATAATCTGGTATTTATCGGGCGCTGTCTATGCATTTGGTGCCATTTCTTTTGAGGTGTGGGGAACGGCTGAACCCCAGCCCTGGGCTGTCATCTCGGACACAGAATCGGATGATTTACCCATAGAAAAGAAATCGCATATTATCTCAAATAAGGTTTAAATAATCAATGAAATCAAATATTAATATTTTATTGTTTATTATCATAAATATATTTCACTTCCTATTTAATTTAAATATAAAATATTGTACCTATTTCATTATTTGATATTTTGTTTCAATTAATTCATTTGTATTTAAATGCCATAAATAATATTTGACATATAAAATTAAATTATTATAATATCAAAAGAAATCAATTTATTCTACTGTACATATAAATTATCAATTATACCAGTATACAGTGTATACTAATACCTATTTTATAAAATTAAGTTTATAATTAAATATTTATTAAAAACTTAAATACTTAGATTGGGTTTTTATCTAAAGGTTTATGTCAATATACTGTACTTTCGTTATTCTATGCACGTAAACTTAGATTTTGGAAAAACCTTTAACCTTCATGACCTTAATTTTTAAATTAAAATGTTAAATCTCATGTTTTCACTACTAATCTCCAATGAAAACACTGTGACCCTAAAGTTTGGAAAGTTTTAAAGATCCTATTTCCTAAATTGTAAAGAATGCATGAACAATCTGAAATTACAATATAAACCTTGCTATAAGCTTCATACGATAAGACTTATTTTTATTATCCTTAAATAAATTCAACTTCAGTTGACAAATACACTTTTAATAATTTTTAAAAAATGGACTCTTTAGATAACTCGAGTACTTGTAAACTGAGGACATGTATTGAATACATAATTGTCCTCTTAATGGTTATTCCCAAAAGGTTTATATTTAGTCCTCTCGTATAACATACTAATAAAATAAAAGCATTTATATCGTAAAATAGCAATTAAACTATAAAAATAATGTGTATATAAAACAAAATCAGTTTTATTCTGAACCAGAGAAAGTGTATTATTTTTATATTTAATATAAGTTAAATAAGCCATGAATTATTTGATACCAAAGAGATTGATTGTTGGTCTACTGGGATGTATTGGTTGTACACTCGTGTATGTCTTGAGATCCAATCTGAGTGTTGCCATCATTGCAATGGTTGATGAAAAGGAAGTCATCGAAGAGGACAATGCCATACAAGACACAGATCTTTGTTATGATATTGACAGCAGAATCAATAAATCCAATTCTGAGCCCATATATAATGTAAATATTTTAATTATTTCTGAAATAATATTTAAAATATATTTTGTTATATCAGGGTAAAAAGTATCTATGGAGTGAATCAACACAGGGCTCGCTATTAGGCGCATATTTCTACGGCTATACCTTAACTCAGTTTTGTGGCTCATATGCCGACAAATTTGGTGCCAAATGGATGATAGGTTTGGGTGTCTTTCTACCGGCGCTGTTCAACGCGTTGATCCCCATATCGGCTGACTTTCACTATTCACTGGTCATTATCCTTCGTGTACTCATCGGTGCCTTTCATGGTTTGGTCTATTCGTGTCTCTTCTCAATGTTCACCAAATGGTTCCCACAGTGGGAGAAGAGTTGGGCCATTAGTGGTACCATATTTTTCGGCAACTTTGGCGGTGTCTTTACCACACCATTGACGGGATACTTGTGTGGACTAGACTTTCTGGGTGGTTGGCCACTCGCTTTCTACTTGACATCACTTATTCATATAATTTGGTTTATATTGTGGTACTCTTTGGTCAGTAATAGTCCCGAAGATCACCCGAACATATCTGAAGCGGAACTCGAATATATCGCCGAAAATAATAGCCAATCGAAAAGTGTTGAACGCATTCCTTGGAAAGACATCTTCACATCAAAGCCAGTTTGGGGATCAATAGTGACCAAAATGTGTGGACAATGCGGTTACTTTCTGCTATGCAATCAAATGCCCACTTATATAGATAGTATATTTGGCCTAGATATTCAGTCTAACAGTTGGTTTACGGCAATTATGTACGCCTGTCTCTGTACCACTAATATAACTGCCGGTCCTCTGTCTAATTGGGTCCGTAGTAAGGGTTGGTTTTCGCAAACTAGGAATCGCAAGAATTTCCACAGTATTGGTAAATAATGATTGCATTTAACCATTTATACTTTCATTTAAAACAATAATCATAACTTTATTATCCGGGCATAACTTTTAAATACAGCAATGTTTGGATCAGCAATTAGTCTACTCTTAATCCCAACGGTTGGTTGCAATAGTAGTGCAGTGATAGCCCTCATGTTGTTGTCTATGCTATCATACGGCGCGGTAACGGGTGGTGAGTACGGAATAATACCGGAATATGCGCTCAACTATTCAGGAACAATTTTCGGTGTGGCCAACACTCTGGCCTCAACTCTTGGCTTTGTTTGTCCCTTAATTGTTGGTCTACTTCTTGATCACGGGGTCTGTTATCATAGATGAATATAAAATTTTAATTAATTTTAAAATATGTTTTAGGAGGGGTCGGGTGCCAGACATCAGTGGAATATAATGTGGTATATGGCGGGCGCTGTCTATGCATTCGGTGGACTCGTATTTGAAGTGCTGGGGACAGCAGA